ATAAATTATATTAAGTCATGGAACTAAATTGTACCAGGGGCCCCTACAACGGGGGGGGGGGGGGGGGTCCGAAGCGCTTCAGATTTGAGTGTGGGTACTTTTTTTTAAAAAAATTTTTTTTTTACATCCATCATGATCATGTGATTTCTGGTTTATAAATGTAATAATAAGACCCCCACCCACCACTTAATATTTAATTTAAAATATTGACGGAAATTTTGGTCGATGTTTAGTAAATTTTATTTAATATCTCGTAACCAAGCCTTCTGGGGGAACAGGCAACAAGAAGGCAATATGATGGCTTTTATTAAGCTTATTGCAGATTCTGAACCTATACTAAAAATGTATATACAGCAAAATGAAGAAAGAAAAAAGGATAAAAAAAATAAGGGATTAAAAACGAAATTATATTCAAACCTATTATCATATAATAAAATAACATAAACATTCTCATTGAAACCATGAAAAATATGGTTATAAAAAAAATTCAAAATGAGATTACATTTAACAGGTGCTTTTCAATCATAGTTGATGGCACATACGATGTTTCGAAATCAGAAGCATAGCTTTGATAGTAAGATATGTTGAAAATAGTGAGACGCCGAAGCCTGTTGAAAGACTGATTGACATATATTGTACGGGAAATACCACAGGTCTCGATATAAAGCATAATATAATATCCAGACTTGGCTCGATGAATTTACCCCTTGAATATCTAGTTGGGCAAAGTTATGATGGCGCCTCAAACATGAGTTGAAGAATCAATGGTGTGCAAGCCTTGATTAGAGGAGAGGCGCCAAAGGCAGCTTTTATTTGGTGTTATTGTCTTCGATTAAATTTAATCGTTGTTCAATTATGCCAATCAATTAAAAAACTTCGAAATGTTCTAGGAATACTAGATGAGATTCATATCTATTTTAATGGTGTAAAAAGATATGAGGTACTCAAAAAATTTCAGTGTAATGATCTGAAAAAATCGCAACGATTTCTACGCGTCAAGAATACCACTCGGTAATAGTTCCTTATTTATTTAAATTTTAAATATTTTTTTTTATTTAGAAGCTGGCTATCGTCATATAAAGCTATTGTAAATTTTTTTCAACTTTATGATGCCTTGAGGGCAGCTTTAACAAATTTAAAGGATTCTGAAGATCCTGCCACTTCCACTATGGCTAGTGCTATAGTCTTTAGAATAGAAAAATTTGATTTTATCTTATCTCTTTGTATTTTGGATAAAATATTGTTGATAACAAGTTTGGCTTGTACAAAATTGCAAACCATTTCGAAGGATATAGGGTATGCAATAAATCAAATTCAATTGGCAAAAGATTGCTTGATTAATTTGAGAAGTATAAAATAAATTATTGTCTTAATTTTTTTTAATCTAATAGATAATAACACTGAATTTTTGGATGTTTTTTCAAAGGCGCAAGATTTTATGAAGGAGAGAAATCTACCTTTTGATTTTGAAAGTTCTAGACTTCAAACATTACAATCCAAAAAGGAGAGGTATATATACTTTCATCATTAAATATAGAAATTTTTTTTAGCTTTAAAATAGGTGTGTTTTATGCTGCACTCGATTTAATTATTATGCAGTTTAACGAAAGATTTAATGATGATTCCATGAAATTTTTACATCAAACATCATTTTTTACGCCAAAGGGAATGACAGAAAAATCAATTATTAAAGAAGATATCGAGCATATTTGTTAATTTTACAATTTAAATTCAAGTCAAATTTTCGAAGAAATGTTGAAGTTTAGAAATATTTATAAGATGGCCAAAATGGGGAATGTAATTATTATTCATGACCTAGAGGTTCAAGAATCTAAAGATTTGTCAGATTCTGAGAATTGTAAATTTATTTAATTAAAATATTTTTACCAATACATTATTTAGCTTCTTCTGATGATGATGATAATTCAGGGAATTACGATTCAGATTGGAAAAACTATTTATTTATTTTACCTTATCGTTTACTTTTAAATTTTTCTGCTTTCCCTAATTTAAGAATTTTATATAAATATTTATTAACCATTCCCACAACCTCATGTACTGCCAAAAGAGTCATGAGTAAAATTAAATTAATTAAAACAAGACTGCGCAGTACCATGAAAGATTCTTTTCTCAATAATTTAACCATATTATCAATGGAAAAATTTTTATTTAAACAATTAAATACTGATGAAATTATAAATTCTTTCGCTTTCTCTTCCCCTAATTTATCTAAATTATTAATTTAAAAATTTATATTATATATTAAAAATTGATGCAATAAAAATTATTTTTGAAATTTATGGGTGTCATAATTATCATTTTTTCGAAGGGGGGGGGATACTTTTCAAGGGGGTACTTTTCATGGGGGTAATCTGCTTCATTCGCTCAAAAAGTGTAGGGGCCACTGAATTGTACAATAATCTTTTCACTTCTGCTCCGACTGCAGAATCCCCATAGGCAGCAAAGGAAGACACAGCTTCCATTGTAGATCGTGCAAAGGACGAATCCTCAGGCACATTCAATGCAATTCCTTGATCCAGCGAGCATTGAATTCCGCCCAAATACCCGCTATACTTGAACCACCAGGACTTTTTATCCGATGGAAGGCGGCCTGAAGGAACCCTGATCCCATGGTAACTGGGCCAATTATAAGGTTGGGACTATTCTTATATAAATCCATTAGCTTTATCCCAACAAACTCCAAACCTACTTGAGCAAAAAGAGCAACATAAAATTTCCAAATATTCGACATCACATCTTTATCCCAATATCCACTACCTTAGCCTCCTTTAGTAAGTTTGTATTATCCTTCATCGGATATAGGGTCTCACATCCGCAAGCATACTGGCGAGCCGCAAGAAGGTTTCTCCCTCAGGCAGAGACTGGATATAGCTATCCTTAAAACGATTATCAAAGTTTCAATGGCAGTCTTCTCTCCATAGATCTTCGTTATATTCACTTTTTCTTCCTTATTCTTATCATTTTACACTATATTTCAACTTTATATTATTTAATTTGGATTTTTTTTTCCTATATAAATTTTGTTTTGACTTAAAAATATAAGTCCACTCGGGTTGTGATCAGGGTTGGGCAGTATCGCGGATATTTGTATCTAAGATACAAGATACTTTTGTATCTTGTATCTTTTTTAAAATTTTGGAAAGTATCTTGTATACAGTATCTAAGATACATATTATTTAAAAGTATTTGTATCTTAACCAACTTTGTATTCAAAAAGATACAGATACTTTAAAAAAAATTTATATTGGTTAATTTAAATAGTATTAAAATTTAAAATGATATTGTTTTAAGATTTAAATGAAAAATTTAATCAAAATTTAGATATTTTAAGATAATTTTTGATATATGACGTTGGTCGTCATATAGCAATTTGCTAACAATTAGAACTACCATATTTGAATCGTTTTATATCTGTCTATTTTAAAATTATGGAAGAAGAAAATAGAATAATATGTTTATCTTCGTCTTCAGATGATTCTTCAACCGAAAATTATAACAATAAATTTAAACTAAGCATACTTAATGGCAAATTTTTTGAAGTACTTCAAGATGATCATAATAAAGAAATTTATCGTGACTTTGGTATTGACTAAAAAGTTATAGCAACTGTTACAGATAACGGCTCTAACTTTAAGAAATTTTTCAAGGAGTTTGGATATTCTATGGAAGCTGTAGAGAATGACTGACATCAATGATGATGAATGTATAGAATTGGAAATCATTGAAAGTATTATTTAATACTTCTTTAAAATTTATTATGATATTGTAAATTTAGTAAAAAAATTTATTCAAATAAAATTATTTATTTGTTTATTTAAGGGTCTAAAGAAGCCTCAATAACATTGCCTCAACACATTCGTTGTTTGTGCCATACGATAAGTCTAATTGCCACAACAGATGTCGAGAGAGCTATTAAGGATTCTCCTAACATTTCTAAAATTCATCATCCTGCAATTGCTAAATGTACTAAGCTATGGAATGCAAATAATAGACCTAAAACTGCAGAACTTATCAAAGCAGTTTTAGGAAAACAATTAGTTACACCTTGTTGCACTTAGTCTTCATAGTTTATTAAAATTTAAAGGCGAACTTCCTAAATTATGTCAAAAATTAGAATTTCCTAAATTAAGAGATATTGAAATTCAATATTTAGAAGAATATTGCAATATAATGGCCCCATTGGCTATAGCGATTGACAAAATACAGAGTGAAATCAACTGCTATTATGGAGAATCAGCTCCAATTTTAAATGTCGTTAAAAAAATTACAAATTTAATTCAAACCAATCTACAATTTTGCAAACCATTAGCCGTTGCCATAGAAAATTATTTAAATAAAAGATTTAAAAATATATATGATTTTGATAACAATTTTAAAAGTGCATTTTTGGCAACTATTTCTCATCCCAATTTTAAAAATCGTTGGATTGATGGTGAAAAAGAAAAAAAATACCTTCAGGATTTATTATTACATGAAGTTTTAATTGTTTTTAAAAATAATATTGAAATTAATACTTCAACAAAATCTTTAATTGATGAAGATGATGATTACTTTTGCCTTAAAAGTACCACATCCAATTCTAATAATTCAATAAATGATATTGAAATAGAGGTCCTAAATTATATGAAAGATGACAGGCGGAGTATAAATATGTTAAATAGTTATAAATATATAAAAAAAATATTTATTAAATATACTCCTCAGCCCCCGTTGAAAGATTATTTAGCTTTGCTAATATGGTTAATAGACCAAATCGTCAAAGATTGAACGAAAAATTAATAATATTAAAAAATAATGCTGATGTATGATGCTGATTTATTATTATTTACTAATTATATAATTATTAAATGGAATATCGCATTATCTTTTATAATAAATTTGTTATTATCTATAATTTATTTTAAATATTTTTTATAAATTTATAATATAAATAAGAAAATAAAGCTTTATACATTTTGATTTTGATTTGACTATTTAAAGTTTTTTAAAAAAGTATCTTGTATCTTCGAGTATCTTGTATCTTATATCTTATTGAAATTTTTCTAAAGTATCTAGTATCTTGTATCTTAAATACAAAATTTTATAAAGTATCTGTATCCGAATACAATTTTCTGAAAATTTGCCCAATCCTGGTTGTGATAGGTAACATAATTTTTTTAAAAAATATTACAAAATGCATTATCGATAAATAAATTAGAAGATATGTTGTGCGAAATTATTTTTGTCAAGGTCCAGAAGTTAGAAAAGAAAGTTAACAAAAATTATGATTAAAATTTCGTACTTATAATTAATTATATGAGCGTATAAATAAATATATTAACATAAATTTTATTTTATTTTATAAGGATGTTCATGATATAAAAAAAATGTTAAACCTAAAGGCATTTAAAAAAAAGTATTATGTTAATATAATTTATATGACAAGGTAAGTTTCTAAATATAATTCTTGGAAAAATTTTACTATTTTTTCAAAAAACGTATATATATATATATATACTTTTTTTAAAAACAAAACCTCAATATATTGAATTATAGAGAAAAAAATAGATAATCTCTTAATATGTAATATAATATATATCAGTGCACAATGATATTGGAATCTTTCAAACCAAAAATAATATATTCTTCATATAGATAATTAAAAAATTATATAAAATAATTAATTTTGTGGTATTTACCTGAAGAATCTTTAGGTTCCTCGAATAACTTTTGCGCATCTTCAAGAACTTTATTCTCGCACGTTGAAGATGCTAAACTAGAATATCGAGCTTTGGAAGGCGTCGTTGAAATAAGATTCGAGGCTGCCGCCAACATAAACGGACATTTGTCAGCATAATCCTTGATCAAGGTGCTACTGTAGTTTCTGATAAATGCAGCAGGCAGCCGGGACAGGAATGGGCAAGTGGTCGACATAATACTAAATCTAGAGACACCAAAAAAGTTGAAAGATTTGAATAGAATCGAAGAGAGCAGTAATTTAGAATTACAGGACATTTTGTTTTAAATTATGGATTTTTCAAAATAAGGAATAATTTTTTATTTTGAAATAAATTATTTTTCTTAAAAAAAAATTCTAAAATTTATGAGCATTATATTTTGGTAATTTAACGCAAAATTTTAGTTACGAAAAAAAATATGATCCAAAATTTTAAAAAACTTTTTTTTTAGTATCAGTTAAACATTTATATAAAAAAAAATTTTAAAAAAAAGTCTATTAGCATTTAAAAAATATTATTTATATATCGAGGTAATGAGTTAAAAAAAAGACCTATTATTATAGAAAGAATAGTTTTAAAAAAAAAATATTTGAATTTTTCTCTGAAAATCATCATTTTTAAACTCCCTTTTTCACGGTTAAAAATGTAATCATATTTACCTTAAAAAAAACAATAATTCATAAGCTTAGCATCATTATTATATTAACAATGCGATAATTAGATCCTTATTTTGATATAGTATAGATTATTTTTATTCTTCAAGATTTGTTTCGATCTTTTGCAAGGTGATGATAGAATTATATTCTATTAAATTAGCTCACTTTTTTTTTAAACCAATACTTTTTAAGTTTAACATATCAAGCACGATATCGATAAGAATTTTATTATTTTTAGAAAATTGGAATGATGGAGGCCTAAGGGGAAGTTAGAAATTTTTTAAAATTTGAAACAAACAAAAAAAAAATTGAATCTATCATTATTATATAGGTTACCTGGTCGATAATAAAAATAATAATAAGAGATGATTACTTTAATTTTAAAGGTATAAATATTAAATGATATTTCGTGTACAAGGAAATGATTAGAAAATAACAAAAGAAGGAAAAGCAAATAAAAATCTTTAAAAAAATCAAAATTAATTTAATTAAAATCAAATCCTATAATCAACTAAGAAAACGTATAACCTAGTTATTGAGCTAAAATCTATATTTTATTTTATATCTTTTTTAAAAAAAAATCAATCTTTTACTTCCATGTCCTAATTCTCTAATTATTTTAATGTTTAATTTATATTATCATTATCAGGAAGAGATAAAAAAAATTCATAGTGTAAAGCTGAGATGAGAGTGCCTCACCAGAAGGGGCGGGGTTTTAAAACAGCTCATGGGATGGGAGAATAGGACAATAAATTTTAACTAGGTTGGTTTAAATATTGGGCGGACAGTGGGGTCATCTAATATATCGTGCAGGGAGAAAAGGATAGGATTAGATTTAAAAAAATTCTTTCAAATTTCAACATATCTCCTGTTAAAATTTTAAAAATAAGAAAATAATTCTCAAGTAACGAGAAGATAGATTTTAAACCCATTGGGCAAATGGATAGATTTTAAATAGATGAATGGATTAAAAACCTTTAAAAAATACTTGTAGGCTAAAACCTGTTGCCCATTGCAGCTGTATTATAAGCAAAATTTCTGCGTTTATTCAAAATAAGTTTATACAATTTATTTCTTCTTTTTTGACATCAGAACCTGAACCTGATTTACTTGGATTTTTTTTGTCAATCCAAACCTATTTTCAGATTCTCTGTGAATCCAAAAGTAATTATTTTAATTAATATGATTTTTTATGACAAAAAATGAAATAATAATCATATCACATTTATTACTATATTTCATGTGGATTTAAATTTGATAAATTTTACGCATTATTATTTTATAAATAAAATATCTTAGATTTAAAAAAAATTAATTGATATTTCTAAACGTATCGGGTCAATTCAGCGAAACTTTTATAGCGAAACACTTTTTCGCTAAAAAATTTTATATCGAACGTAATATAGCAAAACCAATTCCGCAAAACATTTATAACGAAGACAATATCGCGAATCTATTTCAGCGAAACCTTAACCGCGAATGCGCGAAGTCATTATAGCGAGAGCATTATCGCGAAACAGTAAATATATTGCGAATACATTTATTTAAAGGAAAACAACATATTCAATACCAATTTACCCTCCAAAGTTCCTTAAACCATAAACGCGAAATGTTTTAAGAATATTTTGTTACTTATTGTCTATGAAGTAAGCAAACCTTTATCTGATGTGATAGAAAATAAATTAGCCAATTTCTTTCTGGTCTCTCTCACTCATGATTGTAATTACGGAGGGGATATTTTGATTCAAAATAAATTTACCCCCTCCCCCAACATAAATTTTAAAAATGTGCTTTATGCTATTAAAAGTAAATTTTAACAAATATTCTAAAATGCTTAGAAATTTTTCCAATCAAGATAAAAAATACTGAAAAAGGATTTTTGCAGATCTCCGATTATTTTTAAAAATCACAGAAAATTTTTCTATACTATTTTTTAAAATTTCTTATTGTTTTATTAAATTTTCCGAGTTCCTAAGACATAGACTAATAATTAATTTTAAAACTCAAAAAATCATGCTTATGCACTTAAAAATGAAAGAAATAGTAAAAATTTCTGAGCGATATATTATATTTTTTAAGAAATTCAAATCTGAGAAAATTAAAATTTTTACTTAGCAAATTTATCTTTTCGGAATTCAGTAAAAATTGATTTAAGTAGTTTTGATTCTGGAAAAAAAAATATATTCTATAGCACTAATCTAATTGTAATTAAGCATTAAATATTGGCTTAAGCTTCCGAATAAGTGCTTGTCAGAGTTTGGCAAACTTTATGCTAAAGGTTATGTCTTAATATTAGATTAAAATTCCTATCAAATTTTTTGAACTAATATTAAGTACAAAAGAGATAAAAAAGAATATATCCTTAAAGATCGTAAAATCATAAGATTGAAAATATTTTAAATTAGGGAAATCCTATACTAAGATATAATTTATTTTTAAATCGCCATTTAAAATTTGATTAAGACAATCTAATAGCTTATAACTCTGTTTTTCTGGCAAAACTGATTGATGAATATATAAATATTAAGATTTAAGACAATAAATATTGACGCAACCCAGATATCAATATCGCCAATAAGGATCAAGGTTTAACTAATGAATTCAATGATTAATATATTAATAAAGCTAGGTTCCTTGAGCAGGATTTTTATAAAATAAGACTTCGAGGAAAAGTAAGGCAGGATAGCAAATTTTTTAATTCCAATGATAAATTTTATAAACCAAATAGTTCATTATTCATTATATAAATTTATTAAGGCTAAAAGAAAATTAAAAATAAATCTGATACCTATTTATAAAAATTTTAATTAATATGATTATAAAAAATAAATGTTATGTTTGAAAATAAAAGTCACTATTGACAATTATCGCAATATAATATCTTCACGATATATGTTTCGCGAAATAGTTTTTGATATATTGTCTTCACAATATGGGTATAATGACTTCGCTATAAAATTTTTGCAATTATTAATTCGAGATAAAAGTTTCGCTATAAAAAATTCGCAGTAAAAGTTTTGCTGAATTGACATGTAATCATTTCAAAACAAAATTTAAAATTTGGTCTCGATTTAAACCTGGCAAAAAGTTACGATTTAAAAACAAGAACCAGGAACTAAAAAGTATCATATTTTTGAGATACAAGGAATGTGGAATATTATTTTCTAAATTATCCAAAATATGTAGGGGTTCCAAAACATGTCCCAAAATTTTCCAGGTTTTAACAAAACATGTCAGCTTCTCAAAATGTTTTAAATATGAAAACATGAAGGTAATGAGCCTGAACATTTCCAATCTTAAAAGTTGGATAGATACCAATAGGAACAAAAAATATCAAAATTGGAATGGAGCAGAACAAAAAATAATTCTTGTACTCACTCCTTGGCTCAAACCCCTTTTGAAATAGTTCTGGTGGATCAAAAAATTAACTAAATTTAAGAAAAATGTCCAGCACATTTAAATCTTTGCCTGGCTTGTAAAAAAATTTATGAAGGTAAAAATCCTAAATTTAGATTATATAAGTTTTAAAAAAAATCTTGGACCTAGTTTGTAAAAATATTTTATTTCCTACATGTTTTTCAGTCCATCCCATAAAATTTATAAGTGAATCGTGGCAAATTTCTAAAATAAAACTTCCAAAAATTAACTTATAAAAGGATTCCAATACTCAGCTCCATAATTATTAATAATAGGAAACGTAATTTAGCTAGATAGTAATTTACATTTATTAACTAATCTTTTTTAAGATATTTTTTCACAAATTTACTTATCTAAATATTCTGGTAACTTATTTTATATATGGACTATTTCTTCCCACTGATTTGAGTTAAGATTATTATCATAAGGTGATTCTTATCACATATATAGCATTTAATGCATGAATATTTTTTAATTAAAATTCAATGTAAATATTATTCTATGGCAAATGAAATACTAACATATGTTAACTATTAATATTATGATTTTATTATTATATATTTTTTCTTATCCTGGAATTCATAATTAAATGTGAGATAAGATAAATCTAATAATTAAAAATGATTAGATGAAAACTAATAAATAATATGCTCTTAAAGATTTTAGATAGAATTAGAAAAAAACTATACTTTCATTAATATTTCATTATCAAACTTAAAACTATAATATGTATTTAAAATAAAAATAAATAAAAGTTTTTTTAACCAATCTAGGATTGAAGTAATTATGGAATATACAGAAATTACCGTAAAATAATCCTGTCAAGAGGATACAAGTCAGGTGATTGCAAATCATGACCAAATGTGAGAGATGTCAAATAAACTTTTCAAATGGATCTAGATACAGATATATCGTCATAAAATGGATCTAGATTCAGACTGATACTTTAGGTATCTAGATACCGATACAATTATTATTATACTTATGCAAGGTGTGCAGTGCAGTGCATAATATATAAGCCTTCAATACTCTGGTAGGGTATATGAAATTCCAGCAGCGTCTACATGAGCGGGAGGGGTAGGAAGAGTTTGCATCCTATTTTTTGAGGGGGTCTTTAATGGGGGTAGGATAAATTTTTTTGGAGGGTTATCTATTAAATTTTGAAATGAAATAGGACAAAATTTATTGCTATAAAAATTAATGCTTTTATTATAGTATTATTATAATACAATTCATCGACCAAATCTATATATTGCCAACAATCATACACATTGTTTTCCAGATAAACTATCCTTTTAAATATAATTTAAAAGGTTTAGATATTTCAGCAAGCTCATAATGCCATAATAATTAATTCATTGTAAATAATGGAGGTTTTAATTAAATTTATTATCTAAAAAATAAATTCTTTATATTCACAAAATATCGTTAGTTGGTAGTAGAGGCAGATTAATTTAAGTTATCCTTTATAAATTCTTTGAAAAGAGTATCAATAAATAAATAGGTGAAAATAATAAAAAAGATAGGGGGGTAGGCAAAGGTTTTTGAAGGGGGGTTGCTTCCAGTGAAAATCCTGTCATGTAGACGCTGAATTCCAGGGATGTTAGAAATGAAATTACATAAAAACGATTAAATATTATGATCTGGATTCTTCAGTAGCTTCATCAAATATATCTTAAAATCTATATTCCAAATTTCATATATTTTGTTGAGTAGTTTTTAAGATATAAGCATTTTGTGACTGATTGGGGTTTGTGAGACCCCATCAGATAAATTTGTAATTTTTTAAGAAATTTTTTTTTTTTAAATTTTTAAAATTGTAAATATATACTACTATATTATAAAATTATTAAAACAAAATTTAAATATCTTATATTATGAATGAGATATATGAAAAAGAAAAAGTAAAGATTTTTTCTGGTGGAGTTATTTTATTATTATTTTTCACCAGCTGACTCATTTCTCAAATTATTTTTATCATTTATGAAAAATAACCATCCCAAATGCGAAGATTTTCCGGTTCAATTTTTGGAAGAATATGAAACAAATGAAATGGAACTATTATTGATGTCTATGGATTCAAATATTCTTAACTCACTCACTCTTTATTATGAATGTGGTTATTCAAGATTCAAAAACAGATAAGATTTATTTCTTTAATAATCATTACTAAATCTTACTATTACAATATCGGAAAGGGTAAGTTCCACTCATTTTTGTTAAATTACAACTGGGTACAAGGTTTGTCGGTATCCTTGAGAAAAAAATCGGCTTAAATATATAATTATTTAAGATGTAATATCATTTTATTTGAGGCGATTATGACAATATAATTAATAGTGAGGATGAAGAATTTATATATCATAGTGATCATGATACACAATCTGAATTAAAGGAAGAAGGAATGTTGTTTGAAGACAATAAACTTAATATTATTTAGATAAATATGAAATCGTTTATCATAGTATATTTCTTTTTAAAATTAGCTAAAAAATTAAGTTTACTAAGTGGAAAAAGGATCTTCCTAATTAAAGAATAAAAACTCAACAACAAAATTTAGTTATTCATCTGCCAGTAATAAAAGAATAAAGGAAAGAAGCTGACATTCCAGAAAAATGTTTTGACTTGTTCATAACACCAAAAATGATTGAAGAGATCATTTATCATACCAATGAAAAAATTAAAATTATATGTAAAAACTATACTGACCAATATGAAAGTTCTACCAAAGAAGATGATGTAACACAATTCAAGACATTATTGGGAAATCTTTATTTAGCTGGAATTTTTAAATCTAACCATCAAAATAAAAAATAACAAAATATTTTTTTTCAAATATGTAAAATAAATTTATATTTAGAAGTAGAACACATTAATGTTATATGTAATAAATATTTTGCATGTTAAATTTAACATATTTCAATGTTAAATATTTTTTTTATGTTTAAATGTATTAGTGTAATTTAAAGATCCATATTATGAATTATCATGAGTATATGATAGATAAGTTAATTTTTTAACTCAATATTTGAAATTTAAAAAAAGCAAGCTATTTTTTGAAAATTTTGGCACAAATTATAATTATCCAAATCATCTTTAACCTAAGCTTAAGAAATAAAAATAAATAAATATTTTATCAAGTTTAAGGTTAGTTCTATCTTATATCCAAATATTAAATAAAAATAATGAATATAACTGGAGATAAATACATTTGAAATTGGGGTCTATTAAACCCAATTTCATATATAATACCTAAACTGACGATTCATTCATTAAGTGTACATCAATGCAAATCAGCTGGAGACGCTATTTTAATTACACTAATCATTATTAAAATTTTAAACGAGAGCCTAATTTATTCCTATTTTTGATGCAAACTTTATTAAAGTATTACCGGATCATCGAGATAATAAGCAAGCAAGTTATCAATTAAATAGTAGTTTTTAACATAAGAATAATTACTATATGTGTTACCAAAATGGCGGGTCCAGCTGATTTGCTTTTAACGACGCTTAAAAATGCATTTTAATAAAATCGAGGTATTATATATGTCATTGTTTAAACCCCACCCGAGTACTAACGTCATTTTTTTTCACCGGAGTATTGAAGGGTTAATTAAGGTATTGTTAAAATTAATTTTGAATGGGACTAAAAAATTATTGAGCATATTAAATAATGACTATTTTTAATAATTTTAATACAAAATATTTCATTAGCCCACTATTGTCCATCCCATTTAAATGCATATACCATCAAATAAAATAAATCTGTCGTAAAATATTTTATAGAGAAAACACTATACATTAAAACAAACGTGTATTAGATTATTAATGATTAATCATATTATGCATGTTTGGAAGTTTTATACGAAAATCACCATTTTTTAAATGGCCCATATCTTTATAGTCATTTTATTTGTATAATAATTGCTTATATTTAGAATATTGACAAAATAACTAAAAATCTATAATGATTTATAAAAAATTGGTTTGTAGTTAAGTATAAATAGTAAGAAGATAAAGTTTTGATCTTTACTTTACCAAATGATTATAAATAATTCTAATTTTTTTTTAATAATAAAACATTCTCAACATTTTTATCATTAGGGCTCTCCCTTTTATATATAAATATTTTCACTTTTAGCCACATTAAACCAGGCGTTAACTTTTTACAAAGTGGGTTGCTAACTTGCAAAATGGGGTCCTAAAAGGTGCTAATTTATTTTAAAAAAGTGTATAAATTTATTTACATTATTTATATATAATTTTCTGGGGACTCCGCCCACCCCCTTATAACCAAATGGGTTTTCGGCCCGCTTATGCCCTCTCTTCGGCCTGGCTGATGTAATTTATATATTTTCCCATAATTAATTAGAATATACTTGCATTCGCTAATCAAAATAATATCTGTTTTGATATATTATATTTAAATGTTTATATTTTTACTGTTCTGAGAATTTCACATTATATTATGTTCAATTGATTAAAAGTTTGATATTTTTACTGTTCTGAGGTTATAATTATATATATATAAAAATCATACAACTAACTTTTATATAGATTATTTTATACTATTTTATTCTCTAATAATATTTATTTATAAATTAGGTATGAAAATATAATCACTATCAACCTTGTTAAATCTATTCTATCAAATCGAACCCAATTCTCTCAATTCGAACTTTCCCCAATCAAAACTACCACAACTCAAGCTTATCCCCACAATATCTAATATAAATGTAGAATTTAATTCATTTTCTTTGCCCATATAAAAAGAAAAAATTCTAAATAATCCCAAATATCAAATATATTAGACAAATTTTTGCTTTTTAAAATAAGACTAATTTGAAAATAAAGAGAAAAATCGGAAAATATTTACAACTTTTAATATATTTAAAAATCAGCCCAAAAATATATTCAATTTAAACAACATTCTAAAAAATATTCTATATATTTGGTTTTATTTAATTTTGATGTGTAGAATCATCTAATAATCATAATTTATATAATAATAATAAATAGATATACTTTTTTTCCATAATATGATATCTTTTTTATTTTACTTAAGGCGAAATAAATTACAATAATGAAATAATTATGCCGCATGGAAAATAATATTTATTTAAAATATGCCCTAAAGTTAGGTAACTATTTACCAATTATTAAAAAATTGGGTTAATATTAAATATATGAATCTTGATCTATTTTTATGCGACGCCTCATTAAACTCTGCCTACAGAGCCACTTGACGACAGAGTAGTTGTCATATATAATGAATAACATTATTATATTAGTATAATCATTTAATAAAAAATCCCGACACAGTTTGAAAAAATTTATTCAAAATTTGATAAGTGTTAGCACTTATATTATCTAAGGGGTGTCCAAAAAAATCAGTATGAATTATTTGATTTCTTGTCAGAGATTGTCTAGAAATATTAATCAAATTTTTATTTCTATTTCTATTTTTATTAATATAAATAAAATAAATTATATAATTTACCATGCTGTTGTCATCCATTGTGCAAAATAAAATTTTTATGGCTTGTTTTTTTAATGAAATAAACTCCGGCAGATATAATTTAAATATTGTTATTTCTAATATAAAAATATAAAATAATATCAAAATATCTAGATACCGAATATAAAAATATAAAATAATATCAAAATATCTAGATACAGACACCGAATTTCGGTATCTAGATACTTTAACAACTTTGATAAATACCATATAATAACAATGTTTCGATTTTTCTTACTTATATTAAAATATAATTTCATAAACACTAAATTTAATCATCTATATTATAATTCTCGATGTCCTCACTACGTCATCGTGACGTCATGTCATCGCTGCGTCATGTCATCGCTGCGTCATGTCATCGGCACGTATTTATTTTTATTTTTTTTATTTGTTGATTTTATTTATTTATTTTATACAAACAGATGGGAATATTTTTGGATTGGAAAAATCGTCTGCGGAAAAATGGATGATGTTAAATTGATATAAACAATATTCCCTTAACTTTCTGAATATGAATGAAATAAATGATGTGAATAAAAAAATAATTCAAATTTCAATGTCATCACAATGTAATTTTGCTCTACAAGATACTCAACTTATATATTTATTTTGAACATACTCACAATTTTTGTCAGTTTACATCACAATTTTTTATACTCATATTTTTCTTTCATAACCAATAATTAAGAAGATAACCAAGTATATTTAAATATTTAAATATTCTTTTCCTAACCTACTTATAATCTCCAATCCTTATAAATAACTCTTTCTTTATTTTTCCCCTCCATTAGTGAATTTATTTATCACTAAATTTTATTATATCATTCTTTTCTTCCTATCTCTATTATTTATTAACCACTACTTCTCAAAGCCTTATCAATTCCTTTAATTTAATTTTTATTATTTTTATAATATAATAATTTATACCTTCTTCCCTCCCCCCTTTTTTTAGTCTTATTTTTTAATTACCTTACAATTAATTAACCTTAATCTTAATAACATTACATTCATCATGTTATTTTTTAACCTTAAACTAAATTGTCAGCTTTTTCCCTTCTCTTCTATCAATTTATCAAATCGTCTGCTTTTTTTTTCTATTACCTAACAAATACCAAATCTTAATTTTTCTCAATTTAATCTAATAATAATATTAGCTTGCACCTGACTTGGGAATACCTTTTACAAATTATTAAGGGTTGAGCTGGGCTTGATAAACTTTTTTAAAATTATAAGATCTTGGATGCTTCCTAATATTGTAAGCTTGAACCTGGCATGACATCTATAGTAAAAAATGAATAAAAATCTCATTTCCAGTCATTTATGACGGGCTTTCTACTAGTTTATTTGAAACAACTATTTTTCAAATAAAGTTTATTATTATTATACCATAGTGAGGGTCTTCTTGAGTTTAAGGTTCCAGCTACAGAAAATACAAGCTCACTGGGTGTGCTTATAGCTGGAACACACAATATTATTTGGCAAAAACAGAAAGTCTAGGCATCTCCAATCTTTAAGATTCTTGTTCCAAATAATTATGATATGCTTTGTGGAGGTCAATTAAATGAATGTTTATTCGCTAATTTTTCTGTGTAACCTTCACTAAAAACATTTCATTCACATTCTACTATATGATCCACCTCCATGTGAGGCAATGGCGCGGTAGCGTAATTGAATTAAATTAAACTAGTAAAACATCCGGTTCCTTAAGATAAGTGCTTACCGTATTCATCTTTAAAATCTTGGGTCTAAAAGTGCGGCCAATATCTTGTATAAATAACAATTTATACAAATAAAAATTAAATACCTGAAGATCAGTATTGGAAATCTATGATCTTAAACATATTTTGTTTAGGAAGAGATATATAAATATTATCATTCTCGAACGATCAAGTAATTAGCTATTTCACTGAGAAATAATAAAGAGATATGGTATATTATTTTTGAGATGGTATAATATCCACGATATTTTTAAATGATAGAAATTTGAGCAGATATACCAATTGGATATAAACAATTTAAGGTTATTCTATACAACATAATATTGATTGGGGGTTTGTTAGTGCTACTCACACTTTCCTGTATTATCAAAATGCTTTGCCAGCGTGAAGGTACATTTAATTTAAAGTTTTATGATGATATTTGTTATTATATCATCATCGTAATCTGGTTCAAAATGCTCCTCGATAAAAGGATCTTCATCATCCAAACCTAATATATCTAATGTAAAATCTATTACACTAAACATTTTCTTTTCTCCAATATAATCAAATCATCTCTCTCAGATATTTTTAGTAAGATTTTTAATTCTACTCACTTTCTCTATTCCATCCATTGTTACTAGATTATGTAATCCGCTTCTCAAGCATAGTTGATGTTGAAATTCACTAAACCGGACACTCCTCTTGACATTAGAGCCGGCACCTGCGGCCATGAAAATTTTAAATTGAACATGTATTCAATCTTATCTACTTCAGAAAACTTTCACAGTATGTTTTTGGGTTATATCATAGGGTTGTTGATGTATAATATTAGTGAACATATCATCTATATACTTCCTTAATTGTGTAAAAATAATCGAATTAATAAATAACATTTCCATAAAATTTACTAGAAAGGATTTATATTTATAACCTAATCTATTATATAATTATAAAAATTATATATTATTTAATATATAATAATATAATAGCGATAAGAGATTAATCTTACGCCGGACCGCCGTCAATCGCTTTTGACAGTGGAGTGGCATGATTGAGATAACCGAATGATGGCAGCGCATAGGTTCACTTATAGCTAATATCACATTAATTAGCTTACAAACTAACCAGCGTGTATATAGGTAGATGTTTAGCCAGTTTACAACTAACTAGAGTAACAAGCCGAACAAGCTTGCAAATAACCAACTAGTTTAAAAGATAAGCGACTACCAAATAAACAGATCAGCTAGTTTACAAACTCGCATGGGCACCAGCAGCAAGGTGAAAATGGTGCAGTTGTACTATCTTGAAAAAATTAATATATAATATATTTCTTAGAAATTCTGATTTTAAAAAAAAATTGTATTTTTAAAAACTTAAAAGCTGGCTAGGTTAACAATTAAAATTTAATTTATTCAACCAAATTTAAATATTTTTTTAATACAAGTGTAAGGTTATTCATTAACTGCTTATTTATACCTGATATTTTCCTCGTGAAAAATTTTCATTTTTATTATTCAACTTCACTTAGCACTTTTAGTTTTTTTAAGGCCTCATTTGTAATAAACGTGCACTGCTCAAGCTATGCATTACGCATCGTTGTATATTTTTCAAAATCAAGCAAATAAGAAAATTTTAAAATTTGTTTTGAATGTGATATAATTCATTTCATCGTATCACACTTTCTTTAAGTATTTTACCTATTATCTGTTTGCTTTTGAAAAAATTAACGGTCTCGTATCGCTTGGGCGCTGTGTTCTTTTACAATATAGCTTTATAAATTGAATATGAAGAAAAAATCACTTAAAAATGATCATTCTGAAACTAAAATTGGCAAATATATAATTTGACCTTTATATTTTAAGAACAAAAAGACAAATATGAAATGTAACAAAACCAGTAGCGTCATTAGGGAAAAGCACAGGGGGTTTAGTCTCCCTAAAAAATTTGAAGAGCCTTCTAAGAATTTTAAAATTTTTGAAAAAATACCTTTATAAGTTTATAAGAATCATTAAAAAGAATAATTTTTGAGACCCCTGAGATTGTAAAGGCTAGTGACGCCCCTGAACAAAAATAATCAAAAATATCTCATCTAACATAAAATCAGACAAAATAAGACATTATTAAAATTAAAAAATATTATTTTAATTGATATGAAACTTCTTACTAAATTAAGCTTTTATAAATACTAACACTATAACTCTTACCAAACTCTTAAGATTAGCCTATGACATTTTGAATTTTACCTTATGACCAGATTATACGGATATCGGCCCTACTCTGTGACAGTTGGCTGGTAAATGGAACAATCTAGGCAGAAGGGTTCCAATAGGTCAAATTAATTGTGTTCAGATTTGCATTGGTTGTAATGGTTTTTACAATTTTATCCAAACAATGTAAATATCGGGATAATGATTATATTTTAAGGCAAATTTATTTTTTAAAAAAGCAAATCCTTTGAAATCTTTAAAACCCGTACTTGAATTTAAGTTTTATAAATATATATTTGCACTACATTTCTATATAATCACACCCTGATTTTTATAAATCTAATTCATGACTTAAAATATAGGGTTCATGGGGGGGGGGGGGTAAAAAAATCTATCTCTCAACTTCGTCACCAAAAAGTTAAGTAACTCTTTGCTCACTTGCAACATTGTGTTCTGAGGCAATACAATGCTCCGCGTCAGAATAGGAGTGACCCCTATATAAAACTAATAAGAGGTGCGAGGCTTTTATATGTTCAAAAAATTTCCCTCCTCCCGTTTCTTCATCTAATTGAAAAAACGACATGTTCAGCATGGATCTGTCCCTGATCCCTAATAGCATGCCTCTAACTTTTTAACCAGTTTACAAGATCATGCTGAGAAGAGAATTTTAAAATTTGGGTCAGGGTAAATTTAAAAAACCGAAAAATCCTTATTATATCTACCTCATTAAATTCTTCAGGGTGGAAAATAGACGGCAAACTACTTCTTGAATCAAACTTATTCTCTGCATTCATAATTCCTAGAAAAACTTATAAAACGGACTTTATCTCCATTAAATTACTTAATATCTGAAGTGGTAATTCTTTTGTTTTAAATATAGGTTTGGTTCGATTTGTTTCGGGCCTAGTAAAGCTAGAATGGCTGATTTTTTAAATATCGGATCGGCTTCATTGTCCTGGAAAAGATGGAGGGGGGGGGGGCATGGTCCGGTTTAATCCAAACTTATTCAGCTCGGGTCTATTTTTCCCTATAGTTCCTTTTTGTTCGGCTCGATCCTGTTTGATTCGGGTCGGTTCTTATTTTGCCTACTTCGTTTTGTTTGACCTGGCCTACCTTAAGGATTTGTTAAGCTTGGCTTTTTCAGGTTTGGTTTTTTCCGGTTTGACTCTGTTTGGCTTGGCTTTGTATTGTATAGCTTCTTTGTCACGATTGGCTTTGTCAGGCTTGATTTTATTAGTCTTAGCTTTATCGCGATTGGTTTAGTCAGGCTTGTCTGTGTCGGGATTCTCTTATCAGGCATGACTTTGTCGGACTTTGCTTTATCATGATTGGCTTTGTCAGACATTTGTTAGACCTGACTTTGTTAGGATTAGCTTGTTAAGTTTACAAAAAGCATCGTAACAAACGCTGCGAAGCAAGACAAAGCATACCAGTACGAAGTGAAACAAAACCCTAAAAATCAAAATGACGCGTATTTTTATTAAGAAATGGGCAGTAAAATAAATCAAAATGGGTATTTTAATTAAATGGGCAGTAGAAAAAACATTTGGTAGGTATTTTAAATTGATGGGAAGTCAGAGTCTACATGACAGAATTTTTATTGGATGCAAACCCTCCTCAAAAACCTATGCCTACCTCCCTAAATAAATTTCACCGCCTTCGGCGTCAATTTTTTAACATTATTAATTACACTTTTTAATGGTTAATGGTACTCCTTTCATAAATTTTAAAAAGAATAACTTAAATTTATTTCAACTCTATTGGCAGTTAATATTTAATTTTCAAGTTTTTAATTGATTCAATTAGTATTAAAAATAAATATGTAGTTTTAAAATAATTTGAAAGGTATTTTAAATTTTTGGTCAGTT